GTTCTTCGGAGTAAAGTGTTCAACTAAAATCTATTTCTGAAAAAAATTAGTTACTGTCCAATGTATTGTTAATGCAATGTCTCCATTTGCCCTGAACGTTGCAGAAGACAGACTGCAAAGGATGCAAAAGTAACACGTGACGTGTTGGCTCAAAACTCCTCCTTATAAAATTTGGCATACAAATCATTCTCTCTCCTGTTCTGACTGCCCTGGTAAAAGGCTGTTGCCCACCCTTACATTTTTCAATTCGTCTTGATAATTGCCATGATTTATTATACAAAGCAGTCCAGACCTCTCCTTGCTCTTATAAATCTTGCATTGGAATATTGATCAGATTTGAGTAACGGAGACAGGACAAGTGTCTGCTGAGTAAGAGACTAAACAGGAAAACCACCACAAACAGGTATCTGATTTAACAGAAGCTGACCTGCCAGAACCAAGAAACATCATTCTCAAAAACAAAGCCCCAAGGCACAAAATAATAAACTATGAGACACTTGGAAAAATCTAACTTTAAATACCATTTGTTGTGAAACTTAGACCAACTGAAAAAGAACGAACCCCTTCCCTCAACATAAGCAAAGCACGGGTCTCTGGTGAGCAGCCTCCTTCGACGCCTGCCCACGGAGGCTCTCTTTAACCTACCTCCACCCCTAAAACACCACTGACCAGGAAGCACTGTAAATACGTTACTGCCCGCAGTCTCAGTTCACTGTTTTTGTTCTGCCATCACATATCCTGCGTGGTTTGGTTTAGCCTTGTTTGAAAGGCTCACCTCTGCAGCTACGTATCCAGGTAGGCCCAGATTCAGAGGTGACTATTAGCTACGTCTGACATTTCCTTTGACAGCTGGGGGATACCATGCCCTCTAAGAATTAGAATCCTTGATGTGTTATTTCTAATTTAAGAAACAGTTCTATAACTTCCTTTGTACAAGTTTTCTGGGTTTTTGGGGGGGATGCATTACTACTTGTTTTGAAGTAAAAACAAGAAAAACTAGTTAAATTGAATATTTATGCACATACATGGAAATTATGTTTTAAAGACCATTATCCCAAATCCAGTAAATGTCAAACAGAAAGCAGTTTTGTATCTAACGTAGTTCTAGGAGCGACTTCCAGTGAGACTGGTCTGAGGTGGCACTCAGGCACTCAGGTAGGCTCCCTGACTTGTGAGTATTCAGCTCCTCTCAGATGTCACCACCTCCTCCTCCCGAATGAATTCTCCCTTTCCCTACCAGGTGTCGCCTCCTTCAAATTTACCAAGTGTCTAGTATGTGCCAAGCATTTTACTAGGTCCTCAAGACTAAGTCTCTGCCCACAAGATGCTAACAGTCTACATTCCTACACACATACATACGTATGACAAAAATTACATGTTATAAGTGAAGTAATAAATATAGAGTACCAAAAGTAGAAAGATGCAATTAATTCTATTTTAAGGGGTTTCAAAAAAAACTAAGTGAAAACAATACAAAACAACACAGAGAAGTATATTAAAAAGATAACTTTGGAGTAGGAAAGAGACAAAAATATGAATATATTTCATTTCTGTTTTTGTTTGGATAAGGAAATACTGGAATATTACATAACAAACTAATGGTTACCCACGAAGGGAGAAGGGGAACAGGACACAGAATACAGAGAACAGTTTGGGTGCAATTTTCATTACAGACCATTCTCCAAGTATACATTTTTATATTACTATGATCTTTAAACCATGTAATACATTTTATTGAAAATTTTTTTCTGCATACAAGTTAAATTTAAAACTAAAAAAAAAAAAAGCTAGAAGAGAAATGACAACAGCTGCACTAACTCATGAAGTGTGAGAATGTGCTCTTGAGTCACCAGGAAAAGCAGGAGCAAAGGTAAAATACAGGGAAGAACACGCTTAGGTTGCGTTCGGCCAGAGCACAGACGGGACTAGAGGAGTGACACTGGGACTAGAGGAGTGACACTGGGACAGAGGGAAGCCACTTCAGGAGAAGTGATATGATCCCATCTTTGTTTCGAATAGAAAATAACTCTGACAGGAAGAGATGAATACCTTAGGGGAAAAAAGACCAAAAGCAATTGAATTCATCTATTTCTTTTTCTTTTTTCAATGTGGATACTAAGAAAATTCTAAATCACATCTGCGGCTTGTACTGTATTTCTGATGGGCAGTGCTGGTCTAAAGCACAGGAAGGGGCAGGAGGTGGGGGGAGAGTCTACCCAACCCCTCTGGCCCGCCCCCTACTTCCTGCCCACTTGCTCTACTCCTCCAAGCCTGAAGCCTGGAGGACCATTCCCTTAATTTTTTCTAATAAACAGCAGATTTTCCAGGAGGAACCAAACCAGAGGTTAACTGTTCACTCACTCCTCTACCTACATAGGTTTGTCATGACTTTGGAAAGTCTACCATGTGCTACCCCCTCACACACACACATCCAGAACAGAGAAGTTCACAAAAGAGAACGCTACGGCTGTGGCACAGTTTATCCCCTGCAAATGAAGCCCCCTGGCTTAATTGTCCATGATCAATAACTACTGCCCTTCCCAAGTTCCTCTCTTTCTTAGAGAGAAGTCTTTATAAAATACATGAAGCTAGTGAAGAGTCAGTGCTCTACCCCTCCTTATGCAGCTTTAGCGAAATCACTTGACTATGCTGAACTCGCTTCTCCTTCTGGGGGGAAGAAAAACAAAACAGAAGATGAACCTAAACTAGCTTGAATGTATCTTCCAATCCCAACATTTCTCTAAGCATTCAAGAAACAACAGTATTTTAAAATATTTTATACATATATCCTCTAGGGAAGTATAAGAAAATGTGAAATTATTCAAAATTTTTCATGTGTCACATCCTGGAATTTCAGCCTTTTCAATTACACTTAAAACAATTATTATTAGAATCTGTTCTTGGTTCAGACTTCTACTGCTGTCAGTCACTTGAGGCATGATTCTCCAGTGCTCTGATTTATGCTTTCCTAATCATCAAATGGTTCTTGGCATACAGTGAAATAAAACTTGTAGTAACTCAAGAATCTGCAGCCCAACAAAGAATAATTTACATTGTTTTACATTCAAAATGTTCTGGAGTCTAAGTACTCACTAGCATTCATGGCTTATCTACATACACAAAAATGGCAATGCTAATCCGCCATTAGTACAATAAGTACACTGATTTATCTTCCACTATATATAAAAGATTTGGCTGATGTGTTCCTTTTTTTCCATCTTTTACCTCCCTTGAGATCAACAAAAACTGTGCAAATTGGGTAGAGATGGAACAAAGTTAACTGGCCTTCCTGAAAAGATTCCAGCTAAGGTACGTTAGCCACACTCATACACACACTAACTGACTCACGCAAAGGTCTCAAGTTTTAGTCTAGTGCTCTCACAATTTGGGAGAGGGAGAAGAGAATCCATTCTTCACCTAACTAACTCACTGTCGCTTCAAGTGGACTGTATGCCTGGTGGGCAGAAACTGGTCAGAAAACTATCACCCTGACAGAAACCAATTAGACTCCTTACAAATCTGCAAACAGTGGAGAAATGTTAATTTGAATATTAAGCTACCCCCCCCCCAAATCATCTACACTAAAAAAACAGGAAATCTGACAGCCCAATCTTCTTTAGCACCACCATGAAATCTTTTACAGCTAGGTTTCAAGAGAGAAAGAAAATAGGTACATCAAGGATTTCTTCATATCTTTTGGCTGTTCTTTCTAGATCATCTTCTTTCTCTGCAATTTTTTTATATAACTGACTTGTCTCTTCTTGATGGCTTTCCAAAAGTTCAGCCTCCACTTCCTGGGCTTTATCTAATAAATAAAAAATGGACACATACAAGAAAACACATTAGGTAAGAATTAATATCTATACCCCAGTTTCAGTAAGAACCCTTGTTCCAAATTAAATGTGATTAACATCAATTGATCAAATGTACCCTTCTCCCGGAGCAGAAGTGGCTTCATTAGGTGATTAATTAGCTAATGCTTTCAGATTCTCCCACCTGCTCCTCCTCCCTGGAAGGTGAGCCACTTTCAGGCAGCACGGGTTTCCATTAGAGAATGTTCTTGGGCAAGAATCATTTTTTTCCCTCCAGTTTATAATTACTCAAAGCACTTAGTGCAGTGTGAAAAGAATAAGCTTAAATCATAAATCGTCTCTGCTGAGTCTGATTTGCTTTTTTATTGAATTTAAAAGTTGACTTACCAATGGTTTCTTTTATGGTCATTTCCAGCTCATGCTCCTTCTGTGCCAACTGTGTATGAAACTCCCTCATCAGCTGTTTTAACGTGGAATTGTGCTTCAGCTCAAGATCTTCCTGCTCCTGTCTGAGTAACAAAAATACAAAGAGCTAACTGTTGTCATACAAAAAACAAGCTGTAAAGAGTTACCGGGTTCCCCACTCCCCCGCCAAAAAGAAAGAATATGAAAACAAATATATGTATGTTCCTACATGACTGAAGTATTGTGCAGTACACCAGAAACTGACACAACATTGTAAACTAACTATACTTCAATAAAAATAAAGTAAAAAAAAAAAGTTACCAGGTAATCTCAACAGTGCATAGAGCATGATCTCACTGGTATCCACCATTTTTGAGAGCATGTGTGTGTATGTGTGTGTCTCCAGGGACAGAAAATTTCTGGAAGGATAAGTAAACTATGATTAACTTTAGGAAATGATCCTGAGGATTTGAGAATTTTTATTTACCACTTAAAATTTTCCCCAAACACATCTGTATTCTATAATGATGCTAATACTAAAAGTAATATAACAAATGAAAATAATTACTGGGATATGTACCTAATAACCACGATCTCATATACAAGAAAAGGTTTATTTCCCCTTAAATGGACATGAACTAACACTGCCTCCTGCCTTAAATTGTTCTTATTTCTCTTCAGTATTTGACTTATTAGATTTATGTTTAATACTTCAGGTGACTGAAATTTAACTGTATTAGGCACAAAAAATAGGGACTTCACTAAGGGGACTGCCTTGCAGGGGAGGGTATAGCTCAGTGGTAGAGTGCTTGCTTCGCATACACGAGGTCCTGGGTTCAATCCCCAGTACCTCCATTAAAATAATAAGTAAATAAATAAGAACCTAATTACCTCCCCCTAAAAATTTTTATTTTAAAAAGAGGAGGACTCCCTTAAAAGCATTCATACTGAAAAAGACTTACTTGATTTTTTCTTCCATTTCTTGTTCATGTTCTTTCTTTATTATATCCAGTTCTTGCTGATGCTCCTTCCGCAACATTCGAAGATCTTTCTGCAGTTTAACAATCTCCTGGCTCAGCTTCTGCTTCTCCTGCTCGGCCCCTGCTAATTTACATGCCAGGTCATTGTGCTCAGCCTCCACGTTACTAAGCAACCGGGGTTGGACCACGTGTGATGTGGACGCTTCTTCAGCATTCTCTTCCAAAACTTCTATGGGTTTACTTTTTCCACCCATCTGTTGTTGTAAAGCCTGTAATTTTTCAAATTTTGAGGTCAACTCTTCAATTTCAATTCTGTGCCCTTCCTTCTCTCTTAATAAGCAGGAATCCAGCTCTTTTATCTTTTGCTCCAAGATCTGACAGGTCAAGTCCTTCTCCTGGAGGGATTTCTGGATGTCATCAACCACATTTTCCAAGTTCTGCTTTGCCCCTGTGTCTTTTTTACCTCCCTCTTCTTCTGCATGCTGGGATACCAACAGGGAATATTTCCTGGTTTTTTCTTCGAGTTCTTCTTGAAGATGGTTTATCATAACTTGATCCTCGTGTTGCTTGGCTTCAGCATGTTCCACCTTTATTAAGAGCTCCTGGTATCTGCACTGCATTTCGGAATGAGAAGAAACTGTCTCTTCTTTTTCCTGCTCTAGCCTCTGCAATAGCTTTTCTTTTTCGATTAAATTTCCTTCTAAAACACTGATCTTTTCTTCACATGCTTTCTGCACACAGCCTCGGGAGTCTGCTGCTTCTCCCTCGGTGCATACTGCCACATCTTTGGCTGATCTGCTGACAACGGGTGTTTCTGACTGTGGTGAATTTTCCATCGACTCAAGTTTTTCTTGCAGGGTGTGAATTTCTCTCTCTCTCTCCAGCAGTTTGGTATTGAGCTCACTCAAGTGGCTTTCTGTGTCTTTTCTATATTGCTGTTCTTTCTCTTCCATTTGTGATAACAACTGCTTCTTGATGGCAGCAATTTTTTGTTCAGCTTTTTTCTTCAGTTCCGCTAATTTTGCTGCACTTTCTAACTCAAGTCTCTCTTCCAAGGCCTTCAACTCCTCCTCTTTGCTTTTCACACTTGAATTCACGTGTTCCAATTCTTCCTTCTTAGCTTCAAGTTCAGATTTCATGGAAGACATTTGGTTTTCAAGTCTTAAGACTTTTTCTTCAGCCTCTTTAACCCTGTTGTCCTTTTCTTCTCCTAACTCTTGTATGTGCTGAAGTTTCTGAGTCATTTCCTTCTCTTCAATATCCTTTTGTTGATTGTAATTTTTAAGAACTTCATTTAAGGACTCAATTTCCATTGTATTCTGAGCAGCATGCTCCTCTAATTCCACAATTCTTGCCGCTTGAGTTTTTAACTCAGTCTCTAAATCACACTCCTTTTTCTCCATCTCGCTCTTCTTATCTTCCATTTCAGCCTTTAAACATTCAAGTCTTTTGTTTTGCTTGTCAAGGTCTTCCTTCAATAAAGCTATCTGCTCAGCCTTTTCACTGGCTTCCTTTGTTTTTAACTCAAGCTGTGTCTGCAGTTCTTTACTAGTATTTTGATACTGTGTAAATCTCGACTGTGCCTTCTTCTTCCATTCCGAAAATTTGTTGGACAAGTGATCTACCTGTTCAAGAGCGGAAATCTTCTCTTTACTCAGAGTTTCAACTTTCAGAGATAAATCTTGCACCTGATCCAGCAATCCCCGTTGTGCTTCATCGTATCGCTTACTTAGTGATGCAACGGCTGCTTCTTTTTCAGTGAGGCTGATACTGTTCTGAAGCTGCGCGTTCAAATCGGTTAGCTGTTTACTAAGACTGTCGATCTCAGCCTTTTTGTCTTTAAGCTCTTCTTTCATCAAAGTGACAGCATTGATGTTTTCCGATAACTCTTTCTTCAGCTGTGTGATACAAGACTCCTTCTCAGAGGCAGCCTGTTGCTGACTGCCTCCTTCCTTCTGTAAGGCTTCTTTTTCTGTTACGAGACCTTCAATATCAGCTTTCATGCTCTTAATCTGACTTTCTTTTTCTTCCAACTGATGTGTAGCATGTTGAAAAGAACTAGTTAGTGCATTCTGCTCTTCTGTTAGCTGTCTAAGTTGTGCTTCTAACTCAGAAACTTTATGAGTTTTACTCAGTAGCACCTCCTTAACTTTAGTTGTGTGGTGCTGACAATGGGAAATTCTCGACAGAATGGCATCAATTTTACTACTGCTAATGTTGATTAGCTCATCTGTTTTAGCTTGTAATAAGGCTTCAGTTTTCTTAGAGTAAATATCCAGCTGGACTGCCAGCTCCTCAGTCAGTTTTCTGAATTCCAAGCTTTTGTCTTCTAGGATGTTCTTACTTCTGTCATGTGAAGATTTCAAACTCTGGAACTCTTTGTCTGTGGTCCTCAGCTTCTCAGTCAACTCAGAAACCTTAAGCTTATCTTTTTCTGCCAGCATCTTCAGTTCAGCAACATGCTCTTGAAGAAAAGTATTTTCCTTCAGAGAGTGAGCCAAGTCAACCTCCAGCTTTTCAAGTTCGGCTTTCAGTTTAATTTCATCTTGCGACAGAGAATTCACATGAGCAGCCTTCTGGTTTAACTGTTCCTGTAATTCCTTTAACACTGCATCCTGCTTGACACCCTCATCCTTCAGCCACACCATTTCCTTGTTCATCTCTTCTTTTTCACACCCAAATATGAGGATCTTTTGCTTCAGTTCTGCTATCTCCTGTTCTTTTTCCTGTAGTTGGATTTCATGTTTTTCCTCAAGTTCTTCAGCTTGTCGATTAAATTTCCTTTCCCAGTCTGATGCGACATCATTGAGTTCTCGCCTGTGCACCTCAGTGAGACTTTCTATTTGCTCCTTCTGGTTTGTCTCCAGTCTTGCCACTGCATCACTGATTCCAGCTGAGTTAGCCTGTGCCATTTCCAAAATTTTGGCATTGAACTGTTTTTCTTTCTGACTAAGCTCTAGAGCAGTATTTTCAAGCTCTTTTTTAAGTTTGGCTTCCTGATCCAACAATTTCTTCTTTAACGTTTCTTGCATCTCCTTTGCTTTCTGCTTAATTTTTTCCATCTTTTTTTCTTGATTTTTAAATTTGGTTTCATATTCCTCTTGCAAAGTGTGAATACTGTCCTCCTTGGCTGATAACTTCTGTTTGAGTATTTCAATTTCTTTGCTCTGTCCTTCTCTCATTTGTAAAATTACATTTTCCTTTTCCTTTAAGAGTTGCTTTGTCTGTTCCTGCTCTGTGTTACTATCTCTAAGTTGGGACTCATAGAGTTGGGTTAAAGATTTTACTTTTTCCTCCACTTCACTATTCTGTTTTTCAAGTTGCTGCATTAAGTCCTGCACCTGGATTTTGTGAGTGTCTAACTCAGTACAAACATCTTTCTTTTGAGTTTCAACTTCAGCTACCTGTTTGGTAAGAAGAATATTTTCTGTTTCCAAATCCAACAACTTCTGCTGCAACTGGGCCAACTGTTCCTCATATGCTTTTGTCTGCTCGTGTGTGGTGCTCTGGAATGACTGAAAAAGATCCAGCTTAGCAGATGCTTGCTGGAGCTCCCCTTCAGACCTTTTAATGTCTGCCTCTAAATTCTCCACATGAGCCTGATGCTCTTTCAAATGCTTGTCCTTTTCCTTCAGAAGGAGCCCAAGTTGATTAATTTCATCTTTCAGTGCCTTCTCAGTTCTCTGGATGGACATCTCTTGTTCTTTCATGATATTGTCAACTTGTTGCTGGTGATGATTTTTCTGCTCATCCAACTTGGCCTCTAATTCCTGCTTCACTCTATCTGCTTGAGCCTTTAGTACAGAAAGTTCCTCTTCGAGCTTGTCACGGGCTTTTAATACTTCTGACAGTTCAGACGACAGAGACTCCAGTTCTGTTTGCTTCACGTCAAGCTTTTCTAAAGTCTTTTCATTCATCTCTTCTATGTGAGCCTGAAAGAGAATCTCTTTGTCTTTCAACAATGTTTCTTTTTCTTGTTCATACTTTTCTCGAAGTTTTTCCATTTCAGTCTGATACTGTTGCTGTAAGACTTGGAATTTTTCAGTCCAAAGGTTATCTTGCTGATGCTGCAGGCTCTCCAGTTCTGATTTGTGTTTTTCAACCATGATTGTAATTTCTTTATTGTGCTTATTTTTTTCGGCTTCCAAATGAAGAGCTAAATTTTCTGATTGATTTTTACTTTCTTGCAAGCTTTTTTCCAAAGAACTTTCTAATTCAAGAATTCTCTGTTAATGAAAACAAGCGTGTTTTTATTAAAGTACATATTTGTTTATTAGCAATGATATAAATGACATGATGTCTACACCTACTTAAAGATTAAAATTTAGATAAACAACTCTACATATCACAGCAAACACTAGAAAGAACAAAGAATCTGTGCTCAATTCCTAAAGGAATCATACAAAAAAGAAAAGATTCTATTTTTCACACAACTCAATTCCAGATTCTTTCTACCTATCTGGCTATTTCATTTACCTGTATTTTCAAGAATATTCTGAATGGATAGTCAAAAAGAAATAAACCATAAAATAGATAATAGTAACTGTTGGTAGAAAGATGGGTACTTTTTTCACGGTTTTTTTTTTCTTTCTGTTTTTTTAAAAGGCCTAAATAGTATTCTATAATTTTCATAAATTGATTTTGGAAGAAAAACAATGTATCTAGTTTTTACCCTAAAAATTATTATAGAGAAGATTTCTTTCAGAAAGAAGGAACTTAAACAAATTTTACTGAAGTGAACTACTTTGATAAAATTACTATTATCTCATGAAAACATCAACCTTGACTGAAAGAGCTCGGTAAGGCAGAGCCAAGGAATGTCAGAGCTGGAAAAGGTCTTAAATTACCAAATCCAATCTCTTCATGTGACAGGTA